TTATTAAATCCACACTACTAATATTAATCCATACTACTAATTACTAATCCACACTACTAATTACTAATCCACACTACTAATTACTAATCCACACTACTAATTATTAATCCATACTACTAATTACTAATCCACACTACTAATTACTAATCCACACTACTAATTATTAATCCACACTACTAATTACTAATCCACACTACTAATTACTAATTACTACTAATTACTAATCCACACTACTAATTACTAATCCACACTACTAATTATTAATCCATACTACTAATTACTAATCCACACTACTAATTACTAATCCACACTACTAATTATTAATCCACACTACTAATTATTAATCCATACTACTAATTACTAATCCACACTACTAATTACTAATCCACACTACTAATTATTAATCCACACTACTAATTACTAATCCACACTACTAATTATTAATCCACACTACTAATTACTAATCCACACTACTAATTACTAATTACTACTAATTACTAATCCACACTACTAATTACTAATCCACACTACTAATTATTAATCCATACTACTAATTACTAATCCACACTACTAATTACTAATCCACACTACTAATTACTAATCCACACTACTAATTACTAATTACACACTACTAATTACTAATCCACACTACTAATTACTAATTACTACTAATTACTAACATGCAAGACCGCTGGCTACAAGTAGAGTAGAAGTGAGAAGAGATGAGAATATTGTACTTCTTATATACTTCCTGGCGTTATCAACCTGAGGTGGGTTAATACTGGTTACTACAACTGCAGCTCCCCTGGCTACGTGCCTGGTTACTACAACTGCAGGTCTCATTCACTTAAATCTTAATTATGCTATTTAATTTATTTAATTTGAAGTGTGCCCCAGTTCGCAAGATTATATGAATATATTATTTATGCCCATATCGATTCAAATTATAGTTTCAAGTCATTGTTATTTAATATTATGCGTATAATCATTTATAATAGTTGTAATAATTGTAATAATTGCTGAACTTACTTTTCCTGACGCCACTGACTGTGAAATGTGTGTAGTTGCTGCGACACTGAGACCGTATTGTAACTGAGATAATTGGCAATGCTATCAAAGAGAGTTTTGAGAATATACTGGAACCATACAAACTATAAAGTATGTTCAACTCTGCTGTTTGATCATGTTCATTGTTCATGATAACCATTATCAATCTTTATACCTTCATTACGCTCCACTGTATTACATGTAAATGTAGGTACATTGAACAACAACAGGACGGAGCAATATAGCTAATGAAGCGACGTTTAACATTTCAGACAAAAGCTCGTTTTAGATAAATTAGCAAATTGAAGATTGTCGATATTTTGAACGCTCAGTTTAAATCAAATTGTCACTATTGAGGTTAAGAGCTGCAGTAAGGAAATAAAGGAAATCTTACAAGATTATCACATAATAATGATGAATAATTTAATGAATAAACTCGATTACACTTTTAAACTTGAATTATGAATATTATATGTATCTAAAAGACATTACAGTAATAAAATGTAGTTGATAAAGAGCTAGTATCCACAAAAAGGCTCCCTTACCAGATAAGAGATGGAGATAACAGTAAAACCAATAGCATTGACTTTAAAAACATCGGGATCTCTACTTCCAACTATCAGTAAAAATACTTCGTACATTCCTGTGGAGATAAGGAATATTACATTCCTGTGGTACAGAGATAAGGAATATTACATTCCTGTGGAGAGATAAGGAATATTACATTCCTGTGGAGGGATAAGGAATATTACATTCCTGTGGAGGGATAAGGAATATTACATTCCTGTGGAGGGATAAGGAATATTACATTCCTGTGGAGAGAGATAAGGAATATTACATTCCTGTGGAGAGAGATAAGGAATATTACATTCCTGTGGAGAGATAAGGAATATTACATTCCTGTGGAGAGATAAGGAATATTACATTCCTGTGGAGAGATAAGGAATATTACATTCCTGTGGAGAGATAAGGAATATTACATTCCTGTGGAGAGATAAGGAATATTACATTCCTGTGGAGAGATAAGGAATATTACATTCCTGTGGAGAGATAAGGAATATTACATTCCTGTGGAGAGATAAGGAATATTACATTCCTGTGGAGAGATAAGTAGTTTGCTGAATGATCATTCACATTGAACCTATAAAAAACAGCCACTCAAACAATAGTTTTAGTAAGCATGTATGAAGTGAGCGCATGTGTTAGCGCGTGTGTTAGCGCGTGTGTCAGCGCGTGTGTTAGCGTGTGTGTTAGCGTGTGTGTTAGCGCGTGTGTTAGCGCATGTGTTAGCGTGTGTGTTAGCGCGTGTGTTAGCGCGTGTGTTAGCGCGTGTGTTAGTGCGTGTGTTAGTGCGTGTGTTAGTGCGTGTGTTAGCGCGTGTGTTAGCGCGTGTGTTAGCACGTACCCCACTCGAGCATGATAAGACCACAGCTAGGCAGCCCTGTTATCAGTGTGTTACTCCATTGTCCGAGAGATAGAATTGTAAACCCTCCCCAGGTGTGTGAGTGAGGCTGAAAGAAGGATATTTTAATCTAACTTTTAGTGCGTAACTAATAACTATACACTTTGACTTTCAAGAAAGACGTGACAAGTCTAAAAAATGCTTAACAATGTCTAACTTTAAACAAATAATACTGTCAGGATACGTTATAGATTTGGCAACTTGCCAACACACCTGACAGCTATCATAAACTTAAGCACTTTAGACTATATCACTATAGTCTTTAGTCTTAACGTTTTATCACTACGGCACAGTGATGTAACGTTAACAGTCTGTATACAACCTTAAAAACAAGTTTTCGAAATTCTCTTTGAAACCTTTCCCCCCCCCCCCTGGCCCCCACACATTTCTATATTAATGTGACTATGACTAAACTGAACAGTTGAACAACACGATACTGCGTGCATGACACTCATATTCTAAACATAACACATGCTATTATATATTAAATATATGTGTACACTACACACACTACACACACTGCACACTACACACACTACACACACCGGAAATGTAACACAGAGTTTAGTGGGTAATTGTGGGTAATTGTTTTATAATATACACAACTATAAGCAAGAAGTGTATTGTTGAAATGTAGTTCATGTCTAATGTAGGTAATATTTAGATATTTAATGTCATGTTCATTATACAATTTTCTGTTCTTATTACATGGGATAACAGTCTATAATTATCTAAACTATATTTAGACTTTTTTAAATCTCCCTGGTAACCGCTAAAAACAGTTAACTTAACCAAAAAGCGAACCTTTACTGATAAGTGAAAGTATTGAAATAAAAAGTAACCTTTTTGAAGTGAAAGTAGGCGAGTAGAAGTAGCGGCTGTAGTAACTCTGATATTGTGTAGCACCAGTGTAGTGTCTGTAGTAGTAGTAGTTTTAATAATAGTGGTTAAGTAACCCCCCCCCCCCCCCCTTAAGTAATCACACTTTGTAATCGTGGTTAAGTAACCCCCCCCCCGGCCCCCTTAAGTAATCACACTTTGTAATCGTGGTTAAGTAACCCCCCCCCCCGGCCCCCTTAAGTAATCACACTTTGTAATCGTGGTTAAGTAACCCCCCCCCCCTTAAGTAATCACACTTTGTAATCGTGGTTAAGTAACCCCCCCCCCCTTAAGTAATCACACTTTGTAATCGTGGTTAAGTAACCCCCCCCGGCCCCCTTAAGTAATCACACTTTGTAATCGTGGTTAAGTAACCCCCCCCCCCCCCCCCCCCCCTTAAGTAATCACACTTTGTAGAAGGGACAGTGTAATGAGTTGGTGATGTTTAATGTTTAATATTACACTGGGGGTGTATTAGAAACATGAGAAGTGATTCAGCTCAGCTCCATTAGATAATATTAGGGGTGTTCCTTAAACACATTAAATAAATACAGCAACAGTGAATACTGAATAGACATTGTTCCTTGGCCCAAGTATAGCATTCTATATAACAACAAAGTTTTTAAAATGTGATGAATTATTTTTGTAAACTAATGAATGATTAAAAAGGAATGTATGATTATAAATGTAACGAATTAAAGAATTAAAGGCAACTCGATCTTACCTCAACATTAGCATTAAACGAGAACGTTACTAGAGTTAAAGTAGCAAGAGCGCCACCCAAGGTCACTATTACACTGAAAATATTACAGCGAGTTTTAAAAACTCGGTAAATTTATAATGTAAATATTATTAATTAATTAACTAGTTAAATCTGCCCCTTATATTCCCTTCTATTCCCTTCTGGCTTCTATTCCTTTGTATTCCTTTGTATTCCCTTTTATTCCTTTCTATTCCTTTTTATTCCTTGATTGTTTATTCTGTTCGTTTTCATCTTATCTTAAGAAATTTGGCAGTTCTTTATGATTTATTCTAGAAGAAATTCAACACTCAAACGTTATAACCACGTGATAAGGTTATAACCACGTGATAACGTTGTAACCACGTGATGACGTTGTAACCACGTGATAACGTTGTAACCACGTGATAACGTTGTAACCACGTGATAACGTTGTAACCACGTGATAACGTTGTAACCACGTGATAAGGTTGTAACCACGTGATAACGTTGTAACCACGTGATAACGTTGTAACCACGTGATAACGTTGTAACCACGTGATAACGTTGTAACCACGTGATAACGTTGTAACCACGTGATAACGTTGTAACCACGTGATAACGTTGTAACCACGTGATAACGTTATAACCACGTGATAACGTTGTAACCACGTGATAACGTTGTAACCACGTGATAACGTTGTAACCACGTGATAACGTTGTAACCACGTGATAACGCTGTAACCACGTGATAACGTTGTAACCACGTGATAACGTTGTAACCCCGTGATAACGTTGTAACCACGTGATAACGTTGTAACCACGTGATAAGGTTGTAACCACGTGATAACGTTGTAACCACGTGATAACGTTGTAACCACGTGATAACTTTGTAACCACGTGATAACGTTGTAACCACGTGATAACGTTATAACCACGTGATAACGTTGTAACCACGTGATAACGTTATAACCACGTGATAACGTTGTAACCACGTGATAACGTTGTAACCACGTGATAACGTTGTAACCACGTGATAACGTTGTAACCACGTGATAAGGTTATAACCACGTGATAAGGTTGTAACCATATGATCAGTGATCACGTGTCATTACATGACGTCGCTTCACTTTCGTAGTATCGAGCATGATATTGCAATAATCACTCTGCATGACGATTAACAAGATTCATAACCCCTTACCCCCCAGTTCCATGGCCGGATATTATGCCGAATTATTAGACGGAGATCGTCTACTGATATTTCTCCGGATATTTCTCCGGTTGGCAGTTCCACTACCGGAGACCATCTACGGTAATTTTGTTGATTCTGTATGAATTAATCTCCGTTAAATTCCCGGAGAGCTTCATCTCCGTATAATACAGTAGACGGAGCCGGAGAATCATCTCCGGAGATGATCTACGGGAAATGGACCTCCGTCTAATAATTTGGCATAATATCCGGCCATGGAACTGGGGTGTAATAATATAATATTATAATATTTACCTGTAAACCACAGCTCTTTGTTTGTTTAATATAAACAAGTACTTTGCCATGCACAGCGACACTGCGTTTATAGGTACTATTGCCAACGACTGAAATGTATCAATTACAAAGGTATCAATTACAAAGGTATCAATTACAAAGGTATCAATACGGGGCGGTAAATACCAGTCTGTAGTAATTTAAACTAACACTATTATAGAGACATGGAATTAACTCGACATCAAGAGTGAAGTTAGAATGTATTGAGGTGTCAGTTTGTATTTACATAACTTATATAAGTTATATAAGTTATATAAGTTATATAAGTTATATAAGTTATATAAGTTATATAAGTTATATAACTTATATAACTATATATTTTTGATATAACGTAACCAACACTACCAGATTACTACTATTATTATTCTCACTGTCAAATAGTTAAAGAAGTGCTGTGTTATATTATACACTTGTATAATTATATATACACTTGTTGAAGACAGGTGTATGCAGTATGGGTGGATCTTATGAATGCTTATGGGAGAGTACCCCATGAGCTGATAGTGTTTGCGCTTCGGCACTACAAGTTCCCGGAAGAAGTGGTCCAATATATTGTCAAGTACTACGACGAACTGGTAGTACGGGTGAAGACGAAGAAGTGGAAGAGTGAGTGGTTCTACTACCTAATCGGGTTGTTTCAAGGGGACCCGCTTTCTGTCGTGCTATTCTTAATAGCATTCAACCTACTCTTGAATTTACTTCAGGTCGACAGAACAATGGGATACAAGCCGTCGTTCAGCTCTGAGCCAACTACAAACAGAGCTTTTGCAGATGATCTCACCCTGCTGTCTGACAGACTCGACAAAATGAAGAGGCTGGTCGGGCAAATGGAGGAATTCTTAGCATGGACAAGGACGATGAGAGCTAAACCCAGCAAGTGTATTGCTCTCGGAATGAAGGTAGTGGACAATACCTACAGATCGTTTGACCCTGAGATCATCATTGCAAACGAGAAAGTAGCGTACCTTGGTGACACACCGATAAAGTTCCTTGGTCACTGGATCTACGTCAACCTGGGCCAAGATGAGACGAGAGAGCTAATCACCACTCAACTTTCAGGCCAGCTGGAAAAAGTAGACATGGCGGAGCTCTCTGGACCAAGCAAGTGCTGGATCTACAACCACATGCTAACTAGCAAAGTACAGTGGAATATTATGATATACAACCTCCCAGTATCATTCATCCAGACACTAGAGGCTCTTTGTACCAGATACTTGAAGAAATGGCTTGGAGTTACTACTTCCATATCGAATAGTGTGCTGTACAGATCAAAAGACCACTTTGGACTATCGTTAAAGCAGATCTCCAACCTGTACAAATGTCTACAGGTGTCCAAGGCCTATATGCTGAAGACATCGGTTGACCCCAAAGTGAGGGAGGTTTTCGAGTACAGAGAAAACACCAACAGAGACAAGAAGAGATGGGACTACACCAAGGAGCTGACTAATAGGGAGAGAGACCTCTACTTCAAAGAACTGATTGGCTACGTGCAGACCAGGGAAGGAGCCGGTATTGGATTCGGTGATCAGAGGAGGAAGAAGAACAAAAAGGAGCAACTGGTGGAGATAATTAAGTCTCTGAAAGAAGAGGAGCTCCTTCAAACTCTCTACGATAAGAGAGTCCAAGGAAAGTTTCTAACCTGGGAGAACACCATGCAGCTAGACACTGGCTGGCAAAGCCTGCTGTATACCTTGAGCCCCGAGCTGACAAAGTTCCACCTAAATGCCATCCACGACGTTGCAAGTACACCTAGCAACCTCCAGCTTTGGAACTACAGCTCCACGAACAACTGTCTCCTTTGTCGGCGTCAGCAGTGCAATCTAAAGCACATTCTAACGTGTTGCCCAGTGTCGCTTAAACAAGGAAGGTATAATTGGAGACATGATCAGGTGCTCAGGGTAATCGTGCAACCAATTGCAGAGAAGCTGAGGGAGATAAACAGTGCTACCCCAAAGACAGAAGTAAAGAGAGAGTGGAGGAAGTTCGTATCCGGAAAAGGAACCTACAGGAAACCCGAAGTACGGCTTACAGAAGAACCTCATCTTCTAGAGGAAGGTAACGACTGGAAACTAGTGTTTGATGAGGACGAAAGGACAAGACAATTCCCCCAACATATTGTCAACACAGCTCTCAGACCTGATGTGGTAATATACTCTAACACACTCAGGAAAGTCATCCTGATAGAGCTGACCTGTGGAAACGAGGAGAACTTTGAGGACCAGAGATCCCGGAAAGAGAAGAGATACGAAGAGCTAATGGTGGAGATCGAGACCGCAGGCTGGGAAGGATATCTCTTTACAGTAGAAGTTGGATGTCGTGGATTTTACCACCACACATTACCCCGAATTTTCAACTTCCTTAACATCACCCGGGCAAAGAAGAAGAGGGCACTTAACACAACAGCGGTGGTGTCCCTGAAAGGTTCCTACACTATCTGGCTTAGTCGCTACAACAAGACCTGGAGTGACAACTGGCAGCTGGCCGAAAGACCCTGCCCAGTTTAACCCTGATGAACAGCTGAACGTTGGGCCCTTAAAACGTCGTTGAAAGCTACATCTGGGGTCGTCAGTCCCAGACATCAGAAGAAGTCAGAGAGTGTAGAAGATTCTGCGTCTGAAAAGACTAGAGAATTGAGGTAAATATAGTTGGTTTGGTCTGCGTGCCCTCTCAATAAATAGCAAATGTATTATTTTTGAAGACTACGTGAGACGTGATCATACCATTTAAGCTGTGCACTCTACTCCATCAAATGTGAGGGGAACTTTACTAATATTCACTACTTCTAGTACATTCACCCATGTAAATGCTAGGTGACGGTTAGGTGACACAATAAGAAAGCGGTGGATTTTATATCGTTGTCAGGGAAACTAATCCCGTTTCAATGATTAGTTTAGATTTCTATCCTCTTACATACCTTTAAAGAAAAACAATGACCTGTAGCTGGGAGATAATAATAACTAACATGTTATTAGTTACACATAGCTAATGTTATTAGTTACACATAGCTAATGTTATTAGTTACACATAGCTAATGTTATTAGTTACACATAGCTAATGTTATTAGTTACACATAGCTAATGTTTTTTATCAAGTTATCAATGTGGATCCTAAGTTTCCAGTCCTGTCCTGCTAAAAGTGGATCTAACTGGTAACTTCTAAATTTATTCCAGGTGTGTACTGTGTACTGTGTACTGTGTACTGTGTACTGTGTACTGTGTACTGTGTACTGTGTACTGTGTACTGTGTACTGTGTACTGTGTACTGTGTACTGTGTACTGTGTACTGTGTACTGTGTACTGTGTACTGTGTACTGTGTACTGTGTACTGTGTACTGTGTACTGTGTAAATATGGACTAAGTAACAATGGGATGTGATTCCCAGGTCGCTGACCTATTTCTAAACTGGTACGAGCATGATTACATTACATTGCAAGTTAAAAATAAGAACCCTGTGGTTCACACATTGAAACATGATAGTCGATATATTGATGATTTTACTACACCTAATATTAGTCATAAGACTGTCGATATAATTTGCAAGGATATTTACCCTGTAGAGTTGAAGATTGTAGTTACAAACTCTAGCAATTTATCTACGACTTTTCTTGATTTAGACATTAATATTCTGAACATCGTTTCTACACTAAATTATATAAAAACGACGTGATTTCAGTTTTAAGTCGTTACTTTTCCTAACCTTAACTCCAACGTACCCGTGAAACCTTTGTAATTTGTATGGAGTATTAATTGTAGGTGAACTGTATAGGATATGCAAATCCTCCTCAGTATTGAATGAATTTATTCATGAAGTTAAATTATTAATTGATAAACTGATTACCCAGAATTTTGAACGGAAAATCTTACATAGATATCTTAAATTATTTATTAATTGTCAGCCAGCGTGTATCCTCAGACGACAGACACTGGCATAATTTCACAGTTAATGACTGCATGTAATTATAGTGTGTGTGAGGCCTCCTTTTATGCATGTTACCTCTTACGTAAGCTATAATTGCTTTGGTTGTATCGGAACAGTTTTATTTACGTTGACCACTCTCACAGTTTATTACTAAGCTTTCAAGCAGTAAACTATTTTGTTTTCTATATTCTATCATACTTTTACTTAAGTCTAGTTATACATTACTTTATCATATTTATTGATCTAAGGTGTAGTATTGCCAGATCCTAGTTCAATTTGTAACGGAGTTTTATATTAACAGGAAACGAAGCAACAGACTCGATATATTTTAATGTTGCCATGGGGTGGCAAGTCCCCATACATCGTAGTCCGGTAGTTTCATTGCGTCTTAATATACTCCTTCATAATATTAAACGTTGCGTCTTAATATATCCACATCTTCTATTGTGAAATATCAGAAATAATGCATTATGTGTTGTTCATCATACATATTCTTTTTGTTAAAGCCCATATCTACATTACAGCATAATGATTAAGCACACATATTATCCAGATGATCTATTAGATTATAACTTTCTGTGTACTAGTAGTAGTAACTTAGACAAAGTAGTAACTTAGACAAAGTAGTAACTTAGACAAAGTAGTAACTCAGACAAAGTAGTAACTTAGACAAAGTAGTAACTTAGACAAAGTAGTAACTTAGACAAAGTAGTAACTTAGACAAAGTAGTAACTTAAACAAAGTAGTAACTTAGACAAAGTAGTAACTTAGACAAAGTAGTAACTTAGACAAAGTAGTGACTTAGACAAAGTAGTAACTTAGACAAAGTAGTAACTTAGACAAAGTAGTAACTTAGACAAAGTAGTAACTTAGACAAAGTAGTAACTTAGACAAAGTAGTAACTTAGACAAAGTAGTAACTTGGACAAAGTAGTGACTTAGACAAAGTAATAACTTAGACAAAGTAATAACTTAGACAAAGTAGTGACTTAGACAAAGTAGTGACTTAGACAAAGTAGTAACTTAGACAAAGTAGTAACTTAGACAAAGTAGTGACTTAGACAAAGTAGTAACTTAGACAAAGTAGTAACTTAGACAAAGTAGTGACTTAGACAAAGTAGTAACTTAGACAAAGTAGTAACTTAGACAAAGTAGTGACTTAGACAAAGTAGTGACTTAGACAAAGTAGTAACTTAGACAAAGTAGTAACTTAGACAAAGTAGTGACTTAGACAAAGTAGTGACTTAGACAAAGTAGTAACTTAGACAAAGTAGTGACTTAGACAAAGTAGTGACTTAGACAAAGTAGTGACTTAGACAAAGTAGTGACTTAGACAAAGTAGTAACTTAGACAAAGTAGTAACTAAGACAAAGTAGTGACTTAGACAAAGTAGTAACTTAGACAAAGTAGTAACTTAGACAAAGTAGTGACTTAGACAAAGTAGTGACTTAGACAAAGTAGTAACTTAGACAAAGTAATAACTTAGACAAAGTAGTGACTTAGACAAAGTAGTGACTTAGACAAAGTAGTAACTTAGACAAAGTAGTAACTTAGACAAAGTAGTGACTTAGACAAAGTAGTAACTTAGACAAAGTAGTAACTTAGACAAAGTAGTGACTTAGACAAAGTAGTAACTTAGACAAAGTAGTAACTTAGACAAAGTAGTAACTTAGACAAAGTAGTGACTTAGACAAAGTAGTAACTTAGACAAAGTAGTGACTTAGACAAAGTAGTAACTTAGACAAAGTAGTAACTTAGACAAAGTAGTGACTTAGACAAAGTAGTAACTTAGACAAAGTAGTAACTTAGACAAAGTAGTGACTTAGACAAAGTAGTGACTTAGACAAAGTAGTAACTTAGACAAAGTAGTAACTAAGACAAAGTAGTAACTCAGACAAAGTAGTAACTTAGACAAAGTAATAACTTAGACAAAGTAGTAACTTAGACAAAGTAGTGACTTAGACAAAGTAGTAACTTAGACAAAGTAGTGACTTAGACAAAGTAGTGACTTAGACAAAGTAGTAACTTAGACAAAGTAGTGACTTAGACAAAGTAGTAACTTAGACAAAGTAGTAACTAAGACAAAGTAGTAACTCAGACAAAGTAGTAACTTAGACAAAGTAATAACTTAGACAAAGTAGTAACTTAGATGATGTACAAAATACGAACTTCTTAAAAACATGAACAAACTTAAATTATCTATGACTGTTAACAACGCAACGTGAAACTAAAAATAACTACTGCTCAGGTTTGTTGGCAGATTCCCTACCATATGCAGGACAGAAGTTGTTGACTCCAATACTTCTGGCTTCTGATGGATGTAAAGTAACATGGGTTTAAGAAGGAGTAGGATGGATATGAGTGGGAAGGAGACGACTATACAAACCATGAGAGTACGTTGTACTATCAACCCCACCTGGAGAGGGAATATTATCAGAAACAATAGGACTGCTTTAGTTTCACATTTATCAGGAGAAGATCAGCAATCATATTTCAAGCTTCTAGAGACGTAGATTAAATTGTTACTATAACAAAATGGATTTACGAATTTCATGATAATTAATAATTAATATATATAATATAATAATATTACTTTTTCTTTGAAGTAAACTGACCTCTCGGTGTGTTGAAGGATCTGCTAAGGCTCTCATACCAAGATAATCTATAGCAGATGTCACCCCCAACATAGGAAGATGCCCCATAAGGTTTATTAAAGATATTCCAAGGTAGGTCCCATCTAAAGCATTTACACTTATGTGACCTGAGATAACACCAACAAAGAAACCTCTTGTCTGTGAACAAATTTTATGTTAGTAATGCAAATATTTAAATACTAAATGATTTCAGGTTACACAATTTCTGGAAATAACTTTCAAGTAAAATTCATAATTTTCGGACCATATGTGGTAATCGATCAGAATTTATGCATTACTCTTATTTTGTAACGAGTTAAAATGATGTTAATCACCTGCTGGCCGAAGAGAATGACAGCAAATACAAGTCCAAAACGTAAAATGGACATACAGCTCAAAACAAATTCTTTGAACTTTTCGTTTATAGCCATTTTGATCTCCTTGGAATAGAAATTAAAAATAAAATCGAATTTACACAACATTAAACACAATGAGATCTCCTCAGAAGAAAATGACGACAACCTGATACAAATCTAAACTATTATAGGCTACAATATACACATAATATAACAGTAGTTAACCGTATATAAAAATTCTATAAAAAATTCAATAAAAAATCTTAGAAAATTTCATAAAAACCCTTTGTTGTAGTAGTAAAAGTAGCCACTTCAATTTGTTGGCTCTAAATTAATATCTAAATCTGATATCTTAACTATACTACCGCTTTTTATCCCTCTTTCTCCTACAAATAACATTGGAGATCCAAGAGCCTTATTGGAAGGTTGGAAGGAGCTTGAGCATGAAATACTCTTATCTAAAAATGCCCTTTCCAATGGGTTCCATACACTCCTAGCACTAACATATAACATAGTTCCATCTGCTTTGTTGGCCCCTGCAGGGAGTTCTCTACCGTCTACAGGAATAAGGAGAGGTTCAGTGGTAACATCTTTACAGCCAGCAGTTTCTGAGAGCTCTGCGAACACATCTCTCAATGAATTGTGGCAAAGAGATACATATCCACCCCTTTTGCATATTAATGAGTGTTTTATTGAGTTGTCACTTCCACATACACATTTTCTTGCAGCATCTTTTATTCCAAAGTTGTACCTAAGGGCTAGGGCGTCATTGAATTCTTGCTCGTTGAGACAGAATCGAAAAGATTTGAGCGGGAGTGATGAAAGCCAGGAACTTGCCCCTTTCTATGATGTTTGTAGGTTTAGGAAAACAAATTTTTTGTTAGGAAAACAAATTTAAATTTTGGTATTTATCAATAACAATCAAAACATATCATATATCATAAAAATTAGGCCGCGCGTTGGTTGACTGCCTCAGTAAGGTGAATAATTTAAGCTTGAAGGTGCCCTACGCATTAACAGAACCTTATGCGGCGATCACATGATCATGAGGACCTGTGAGCGCCAAATTTAATTTAAAGTTTCTAGAAATCATACATCACTACGAGTTACTCATGCTTTTTTAATTTTTATAGGAGTGTAGATTGTCAGGTATTTCATTCATTCATACTTATTTGGTTTAAAGCTGTATATTTAGAACTCGCTATTGTTCAAACTATGAAAGCAGAACGTAGATAATGGACAATATACCTACCAGGACGCACGCACTACCAGGACGCACGCCGAGTTGGACTCGTCGACAGTCCTGATATATATGGAACAAATATATATATCGAACAAATATTTTACGAGTATCACCCGTTAATATGACGTAAGATCTAATTGCAATTTTTGGGTTTCATTCAGGAAAACTCTATCCTTCAAAAACTCTATCATTGAAAAACTCCTTGAAAAACTCCTCGAAAAACTCCTTGAAAAACTCCTTGAAAAACTCTATCCTATATTTTCCATGTTTAAAAAAAAAGTCTAGAGGTCGCACCATGTTTTCCGTATCTGAGTGATAGTGATATACCCCCTAGCAAAACAGAGATCTCTGAGGCTTTAAAGAGTCTGAAGAATCACAAGAGCCCTGGAATTGATGAAATTTCCAACGAACAGCTGAAGTATGGGGCTCCTGGTCTTTTAGACAGGCTTGAGAAACTGTTTGCACGTGTATGGGAGACAGAGAATGTGCCAGAGGATTGGGTTAAGGGTATCATTGTTATTGTCCCGAAAAAGGGTGATACATCACACTGCTCGAACAACAGGGGCATTACCCTACGCTCCACGGCATCAAAACTCTATCAGATAATAGTGTTGCGACGGATGAATGCGGGGCTTGAAGAACTGCTCCGAGAGAATCAGTGCGGGTTCAGGAAAAACAGGGCTTGCATAGATCAGATTTATTCGCTCCGTACTATTATTCACAACAGCATTGAGTTTAATCTCCCCCTTTACATAAATTTTGTTGACTTTAAAGCTGCATTCGATTCACTTAATCGGGAGTTTATCTGGAAAGCTTTTAGTCATTATGGCTTGCCTTGTAAATACATTCGCATAATGCAAGCATTCTTTTGCGGCACCGTCAGCGCTGTCAGACATAATGGCGAGCTCTCTGAGTGGTTTGACGTTACATCTGGTTCTGGGCAGGGGGATATTCAGGGTCCACCTATCTTTAATGTTTGCATCAACCTGCCTGCGCAGCGGGCTGAGGATAACAAAGTGTTGTCACACGGGGCAGTGCTGCAGAGAGCTACCACCAGCTCTGGTCAGGATATAGTCGTCCTGGATACTGACTATGCAGATGATTTGGCTATCATGGACAACACCAAGGACGGTCTCCAGGAGACGACTGATCTTTTATGCAAGTATGCGGCTCAGGCTGGCCTCAGAATCAATGCGAAGAAAACAGAGGTTATGGCCATCGGCAAGAATACATCACAGAGGCCGTATACTGAAGCATCAACGGTGGACATTACAGTAGGAGACACGGCTATCCAGCAAGTCAGCAACTTCACTTACCTTGGGTCGATTATATCAAGTGATGGGACTATTGACCGGGACTTGTCTGCACGGATCCAGAAAGCCTCAGGAGCATTCAATCAGCTCGGTAATATTTGGAAGAATCGCAATATCCAAACTAACACCAAAATACGGATATATGTTGCAGCGGTTCTAACAATATTACTTTATGGAAGCGAAGTCTGGAACACTACTTCAAAGCAACTACATCGCTTCGAAGTTTTTCATCAAAACTGTCTGAGGAGAATCCTTCGAATTAAGTGGTTCCACCGGACGAGCAATGTTCAAGTGTTGGAGCGGGCAAGAATAAACCCGGTTATAACCTACATCAGTGCCAACCGTCTTCGCTGGTTTGGACATGTTTCTAGAATGCCGGACACCAGGCTACCAAAGTATCTACTTGACTGGACACCTGCTCACGGCCGAAGATCACGTGGGCGGCCAAGAAAGAATTGGCGAACCTGTGTCCTAGAAGACGCAGTAACATTCACAGGAGATCCAGACATTGTATTTGATAAGGTCCGAGAGTTGGCAGGAAACCGAAAGCACTGGAGAGAGATGATACGACATAAGCGGCAATTCCTTGGTGCAGGCCACTCGAATGATTGAGGAGACCTTATCAAGTATCAAGTAAGTAAAATAATGAATGGAGTATTTGAACCAGACTTCCTATTGTAGAATAGAAGTGGAGGCAGATATATAAAACTTCGCGGTCCCTCCGTGAGTAATTCAGAATGGTGACATGCACAATTTATCACTCACCCAGTACACAGTTATACAGGTTGGAAACCTCATTTCTAACATTGAAAAATGAATATTGATTGTGAAGCAGAAAATTGCGACAATAAATATTTTCTGACATGAATTTTTCAGAATGAAGATAAAAGTTGAACAAGTTAAAAACTGTAAACGTTGACGGGTGTTTCTCGTCTAAATTTCTTCAAAGTAGCGCGCACCGTTTAATCAAAATATTAGCACGATGCAAGTGCTAGTAGAGGCTGTTACGGGCAAATATCACGCTTTTTTGCTCGAGCCCTGGGACTTCTTTTAGGGTTCTTATATGATAGAATGGAGTGTACTGAACACTCTGACGGTATCGGGAACCTACTAGAGAATTCAGAAGCTGTGTTGTGAGCACTTTACTGCCAAAACTTCGGACATCTACAGACACCGGAATATCGACTAAAAATTTTTTCTGAGTTGTTCCCCTAATTTCTCTTAGGTTGTTTAAGCCCTAGAAAGTGTCAGATCGTCTAAATATTGCTACATTCCGGTGTTAGAGACCTCGAAAATTTCGACCTCGTAGAACGTGTTGCGCGTCGTATATAGTGTTTACAATGGAAAAAGTGCACTTAAATCTGATTCGGTTGCGGCGCGTGACGTATCTAGCACGATATTTGCTCGAAAGCGCGTCACTGCGCCAGAAACCTCGTGGTACCGTAACACTGTAGAAATAGATAATCACAAGAGACACAATAAACGTATCATCACTATGCAAAGTTAATGTTAAAATGATACAATAGCCCTGCTTTAACAGATTAATCCACATAAACACTATATTTCTACAGTCCGATCAGTAAATCGAACATGTTTTTGAAGATAAATCTTCTGATAGAATTCGTTTCTACATTATAAGATTTCTTTTCTAATCTCCTTTAAGAGTGCTGCCTTTGTTAAAGTGTTATCATCTCTATCCGCATCTATTGTTGCGGCAGGATTAGATACGATCCTGCTGTCGAAACAAACTCGTCTTACCGACATTGTCTTTCTGAAAACTGATGTGATCAGATTAAACATTGCTGGAGTTTGCAGCGTTCTCAGATAAATTAGACGTCACATAGTCATTGTACTTAAGCTTCAGGTCAGACACGAGGTACAGTTCTGGTAAAATATTCTCCTGCTCCAGTTAAAAGGTCCGTATCAATACCTGCACTCATTATTGCAGCATTGGTGTTGGCGTGCGTGGACACGTGTCTTTCCATTTTAAAACCTGCCTTAGAGATAGGTTTTAAACTTACAGCTTCAGATAATTTACCCTTCAATTGTTTCACCCTCGAGTTGCTGTACCTCAAACGACATGTTTTGTGATATCTACCTAGCTTGCTATAGAGATATTTTCCGAGACTCTCAGGGTTAAGAACAGGGCACTTGTTCATGTGCGAATCAGGATTAACATCGATGTTGCACAGATCCTGACGATTTCTGTAGAAGTCCACAGATAGTATGTTGCGAAATCGACGAAGAAACTATTATCTTTTCCTTGAATCAGACTATCCTTTTTCGTTTCTAACGTCTAGGGAAATTCGTATTGTTAAAGAAGAATAACCTCTCATACTCTTAAAATTAAATCGAGATAATATGTATAATAATTATATTTGCGAGCAAAAGTTTCACACAAACCTGTTCAACCTGGCATATGAAACACAAGTCTCAGTCCATTTCAAACAAATCAACATCTGGTCCACTTGATTTGGAACTAAATGAAGAAAGTCTCCACATTTTCTTAGTTCTATTCGAGGAGGGTGACAAAGGCGGGACTTTTTCCACTTGGATGGCAATAGCTTCTTCAATCTTCATCACAAGAGGATTCGTCAATTTCAGAAACAGCACTGTACACCTGCAAATACTTTATTACTTCCCACATTTATATCAACAGTATCATATCACATAAGTTTGAGATCGTACAAGTGTTATATCATTTTAAAAGTTTGCAAATCCGATAGAAATGGATTAAAAATTACTACTCGCTGTCTATTTACCTTTGAATAATAATGTTTTTCAGGAGGTGACCGGGACATGATTTCAGGCCTGACCGGGACCGGGATACAAAATGTGACTTGACCGGGACCGGGACCGGGATAGCTCAAAATTGAGATTATCAATTTACCGGGACCGGGACCGGGATGAAAAATGTGACTTGACCAGGACCGGGACCGGGATAGCTCAAAATTGCCAATCCCGGTACCGGGATTCCCGGTACCGGGAATTTCGGTCGATTACTGGTTAATTCATGATCATAATTTATTACTCAAACTTGTTAAGCAATTTTAAACATTGTTGTATTTGGCTCAGAGGATGTTTAAAGATGAAATTCACAATGAATGAAAGGAAAAACTTAAAATCACAGTGAATGAAATTATGTAAAAGATCCCGGTCAAAATCCCGGCAAATTTGAGTGATTGACCGGGACCAGGACCGGGACCGGGACCAAGAATCCCGAATTAACCGGGACCGGGACTGGGACCGGGATCATAAATAAATAAATCAGCATTTGACCGGGACCGGGACCGGGATAGCTCAAAATTGCCAATCCCGGTACCGGGAATCCCGGTCACCGCCTGATGTTTTTAAATGTTAGTAAAACAGGAGGAAACCACTCACCCTGTTATAGTTGTCTTTTACATAGTTAAGACACTGAATACACACAAAAAGAGGTTTGCTTTGGTGAGCACAACCCAGGATTGATCTTCTGCAGCAGGGCGAGGAATTCTCTAGACTGTTTTGTAATTCGTTCACTTTCAGAGCGGAAGAAAACTGTGTCATTAAAATCCTTTATGTCTATTCGGGTACAGATACAGCACTCTGAAAATTGATGAATGGTCACATTTTTGTATACCCTACGGCAAAGTCTTATGTATGTGGTAAAAGAATGATATTCTTTAAATATATAATAACATCTATAAACAAAAGAGCACCTAAAGAGGCTCAGCAAAGTGCTGGCCTATTTACGCTTACGAAGACTCATTCGTTCAATATGTCTCAAAGTAAATAAACTCCTCCATCCTACTCTATCTCTTGCTAAGTTCACTAAGTTGGTAAAATCATCTTCATTTTTCAAATAAATTTGTCTCTTAAATAGGTCATTTTTCACAATAATATCATACAAATTAGTCCTGTGTCTACCCACTCGTCCCTTTAGTGTTTGACATCCTAGTGAAGCAAATAACAGAGACTGGTAGGCAGGCGTGTCGTTGTCACTGCGTAGAACATGACCTAGCATTGTCCACCGTGCCTTTTCCACTCTCTCGGAAAGGGGCCTGGTCTGGGTACGAGCGTAGAGGGCCTTGTTAGATATTGAGCTAGGCCAATAGATGTGTAGAATGCACTTGAGGTGCTTCCTCTGAACAACATCTACAGACTCTAGAACATGCTGAGGTACGGCCCAGCAGCAGCAGTTGTACAGGAGCACTGATACTACTAGTGAGTCGTAGAGTTTGATCTTTCTCTTCTCAGTTATCTGACTCCTCTCTGATCCCTGGCACCACAGCTTGTCAAATGACCAGAAGGCGGTGTTAGCTTTATTCATTCTATTAGTAACATCCTGCTCTGATCCAAGCTTAGTACCAAGAAGCGTCTCGTTTCTCACTCCTCTTTTCCTCTTAGTTCATTATCCCACTCGTCACATGCGCCAACTTCTTCTAAATACACTCTGGTAAACTTTGTCTTTGTGTCGTCTCTGGAGCATCCTGCAGCTTCTAGTAGTCTGATTGTTGTACCTCTGCGGATGGTATTGAAGGCAGCTGACATGTCAATACTCACTTTGTTCCATTCAAACTCCTTCTTCATTACTACAGATATGAGCATGCTCTGTGCCCAAACTAGGTCGGCACAGCTCCTGCCAGCTTTGTAGGCAGCTTGGAACGGTCCGGTGAAGTTTTTCATTAAAGCCTAAACTTAACTTCTACCAATTCAAAATTGTTTACGTCGGTCTCCCCTCCTTGAGCCACTTTTCACATAGCTATTGAGTATAAATCACTCTAGCACAAGCGATTTCAAACCCCCTCCCCTAGGCTGGATTAGGTTATTATATGTGAACTGTGCTCTAGTGCATGACTGACTTTACATAATGCAGAGCATGCAAAGTTTTGATGTTTCATAAACTTATGAATAAAGTTTTAAAATCGTGACATAAAAAGCAGTGGTCGCCCGGTGCCCCCTGGCCAAAATCACAACCCCCAGCCAAAAATTGGCAATTCTCCGGGGGTAAACACTGGCCCCGGCCAATTCTCAGTGTTCAGCCCCTGCCCCGGCTATATTGGGGCTCCCCGGCCCCGGTCAGAATCCTGCCCCCGGTCGACCACTGATACAAAAGCGAGAGATTTGTCCAAAAGCGAGAGAAAGTACTGAGAAAGCACTTATACGTCACCACCAGAGGGCCTAGAGAGGTTATCTTTGTCTGTTTAATTGAATATTGAGTATATAATATGAGATTTAAGATGAACATGATAGATATAACGTCCAAATTCTAAAGTTCCACCAAAATTGAGTCACATTAAACTTGGTTATACAACAATTTTAGTTCTTCATTATGGTAGGTGATTTGACATAATGAAGTGTAGACTAAATTATTATTTATAATAATTACCTGTCGGAGGGATTTAAGTGTTCCTTTGAACAGTCCTTTTCTGGAAGGTTGAGAGCTTTCCATACATCCAGAGAGCCAAATTGGATTTGTCCTTCTTTCGGGCATATGCAATCTTTGATATGATGCCTTGTACATTTTGAAATCCTGCAGTTATCATTATTCAATACTTATAGAGCCTTAGATAAGGGGTTAGGGGTCGTTCACATAATATTGTGTAATTGCAATATAGTAAGGTTACTGTACATTTCCAACCCTTTGTCATGTATATCACAACAGATGATGTTAAAAGCATAATAATATTATGATACAGTTTTACAGTTTTTTTTACGTGTTGATAATCTAGCTCATATCTCTATTTTATCGCTACATTACAACTGCCATTTTGCTGGTACTGTGTTTTTACTTTATACAAGTACAGGTAATCGATGGAGGAAATGGATACTCTTCAAAGATTGTCAGTTTATTCTACCTAGCTACATTACTGAAGAGTATGAGGTCTATAACGGTTGCTACGAACTGTGACAATAAATCTGAGTTTTCAGTTGAAACGTTCAAAAAGCCAGTGAAGTCAGTTTCAGTAAAACATTTATAATTTGTATTCTGCATATCAGACTACCGATAATCATGTAAGTACGTTTCTGGATAACAAGAAAGATATGGAGGAGTTGAAGAGCGATCTTATCCGATCGCAAAGTACTGTTATCAAGCTGCAGGCTGAACTTCTGGAAACTAAATCGAAGCAGTTGGAATCCATGCACTCCACCGTCAAGACCGCCGTTCAAGACACTGTCCAAGCTGAGATGAAGTCATACAGTCAAGCTGTGACTAAAAATGCACCTGTGCTTGCAGAAGAGAATTTAAAAAAGGTTGTACAGAATGGTGTATCGGAAGAGGATCGCAGTAGGAATGTGCTCATCTTTGGTTTGAAGGAGACTGATGAAGAGGAACTGTGCAATAAAGTTACCGTGATTTTTCAGCAGATTGAAGAAAAACCACGTTTTGAAGCTATCTGGGTTGGGAGAAAATCAGCCAACAAGACTAGACCAGTCAAAGTTTCGCTAGATAATTCTAACTTACCGTTCATCAGATATTAGTAAATGCCAAAAAGCTGAGACTGTGTGAAGATCATAAGACTGTTTTCATCTTTCCAGATCGATCACCTGAAGATCGAGTTATCCATCAGCGGTTGGTCTTGGAAATGAAACAGATAGCCAAAGCAGGCATGGCTCCACCGTGTAGGTTCGGGTGGGTGCGCACCCACCCAAAGGGTGTTGCACCCACCCAAACGATTTGAAAATGTTCACACAAAAATTGTCAAATTTTGTATAAACTAAGCGTCAATTGACTTCTGTAATCAATTGAGACTGTTTTGGAGATATTAAAATATGTTTAGGAGAGTAAAATTCCAAAATTTTCCAGGGGGCTTCATCCCCCCCCCCCCCCCCCCCCCCCCACCGTGCGCCAAGCTGCACCCACCCAAAGATTTTGAGCTGGAGCCATGCCTGAGCCAAAGAAGACACAAAAAAACATAATTATATCAGAAGTGGTAATATTTGTAGTGAGGACAAGATGTTAGAGAGTGATACATAATAATGAGTGATATACGTCCATAAGTTCTTAATTTTGATTGTTGATATAAGCGTGATAAAAATAATTTATTTCATTTGTATTGGACGGGACATACACAAAGATGCTACGTATGGTGCTGGGTATCTCATGGAAGGACAAGGTCAGCAATATAACTTTGTATGGTAGTCTACCAAGGCTGTCAAACAAGTTACGAAGCAGGAGACTAAAAATGGCGGGACACTGCATCAGACATCCTGAGCTACTTGCCAGTGATTTAGTCTTATGGAAACCTATGCATGGTAGATTGGTAGAGCACAGCAAGGCCGACCAAGACAAAGCTACTTGTCTGTGTTACTGAAGGAAATTGGGACAAACTCAAAAGAGGAACTGTGAACTCTGATGCGGGACAGGGATATATGGAGGGGGTTATCTGGCGTAGATCAGACTTAGTTCCGACAAAGTAGTAGTATTTCATTTCATTCCATTAATAACCTGCATAGTTGAAAAGTTGATTGATGTAGTTTCGATAAACAGGGCGTCGTTCAACTCCACTCATTTCGTTTCAAGCTGGAATGTAGTATTGTTTAGTGTATGTTTGTTCATGTACCTCTCATCATCAAAAGGTTTCAACTTATACAGCATCGATAACATCATCTAACAAAGCTTTTTGAACAGCTTAAGATTCAGTTAAAATTACATAATTCAGATACATTTTGTGAAATGATACATTGTCAGCCTGTATTTAATTAATTATAATAATTATGGTAATTTAGCTAAAAATCAAACCATTTGAGTTTTCATTGTTATCAAAATAATGCCGATCTAAATTCGTCTTAATCTGCAAGCTTCTTTCATCAAGAAGATTCTTGAAGTGATTTGCATGTACACAGAGTCTTAGCTGTCTTAGCTAGTTCTGGGTCCATAAACATGTCACCTTCTTTCTAATGGTGATTGTCAAGTTTGTTCAGCAACATAATTCAGAATTGCAGAAATTATTTGAATCTACTAGAGATGAAATGGCTTAAATAACAAGCAATAGATGTAACTAAACAATACATATTGTAGTTTGACTACTTCTTTGAAACTTTTTTTTTTATTTTTAATTGTAGTTGACGAAATGAGAGTCTCCACTCAGTGTGTTAAAACATAATTCTTTGTCGACGTTTCGGCTACATGCCTTTGTCATAAACAGGACGTACTGAAAACTTACATAGCTGCAAAGATACAATGTTAAAATAATCTATTAATACTACGAAATATAACAACAAAAAATAACATCTTGAAACCCAACAACGATCACAAATTTTTCCAAAAGAAACATAAAATATAACGGCTAAAAGAATCCACAACGCAACAAGCCGTGAACAATTCCTCATAGTACTACAAACATTTTACCAAGATAGCTCCTTCATAAAACTGATTAATCAAAAATTATCTAGGTTAATAAGTTCAATATTACATTAACTTCCAAGTATATTTTATCCAATCACCTTCATTTACGGACTCAGACAATTGAGTATTTATTTCTGGGTTTTCACGTTTTATTAGAACCGACTGCCACAATTGACGGTCCACATAGTCTTTACATCTTTTTCGAACTATAAACCGAAACGGTATGTTTGGCATTGAAATGTCTGCATGCTCCTCTAGGTAGTGCTTCCCCATGGCCGTAGATTGTCTAATAAAACGTTCTAATAAAACGTGAAAACCCAGAAATAAATACTCAATTGTCTGAGTCCGTAAATGAAGGTGATTGGATAAAATATACTTGGAAGTTAATGTAATATTGAACTTATTAACCTAGATAATTTTTGATTAATCAGTTTTATGAAGGAGCTATCTTGGTAAAATGTTTGTAGTACTATGAGGAATTGTTCACGGCTTGTTGCGTTGTGGATTCTTTTAGCCGTTATATTTTATGTTTCTTTTGGAAAAATTTGTGATCGTTGTTGGGTTTCAAGATGTTATTTTTTGTTGTTATATTTCGTAGTATTAATAGATTATTTTAACATTGTATCTTTGCAGCTATGTAAGTTTTCAGTACGTCCTGTTTATGACAAAGGCATGTAGCCGAAACGTCGACAAAGAATTATGTTTTAACACACTGAGTGGAGACTCTCATTTCGTCAACTACAATTAAAAATAAATGATTGACCCACTCATAAGAGCAAAGCAAGATAACCACTTCTTTGAAACAATCAAAGAATGGGGGAGCTAAGGGAATGATTGCTCAAAACGAATGATATCTTCATGAATTCAATGCAGCATCTATACATTTGTTCCAAATTAGTGATGGATGAGGGGGTTTAAGTCAGGCATTCCTGACATTTACTCTACTACTATTTATAAATTCAAAATCATGTTAAGAAGATAGCAGCAACTAATCTATATTATTAACAGTGCTCTATTTTATGTGTACTGAAGAGTGCCTTTACAATATTCCACTTTGTGGTGTAGATTTCCTCCATATCCAACAGGCAACACTGAATGAGTGATGGATGAGGGGGTTTAAGTCAGGTGTTCCTGACATGTATTCAAAATTGCATTGAGAAGATAGCAGTAACTAATCTATATTATTTACAGTGCTCTATTTATGTACTGAAGGGTACCTTTATAATATTTCAGTTTGTGGTAGGGTTTCTCCACATCCAACAGGTAACACGGAATGAGTGATGGATGAGGGGGTTTAAGTCAGGCATTCCTGTCAAAAGATCTATAATTAATCTTGTAAGGGTACCATACAGTAGACATTTTATTGTTGATTGTGAACCAAAAGTTAATTCATACACACAATCGATAAATTATAAATCCAAATAGTCATATAAGCAATGCAATACTAAATTGGTGAAATTGTATTAACAAAAGGTAATCAGCCAAGTAAAGGTATCTCAACAATATAACATTGAAGTATTAGAAATGGCACTCTACTATTATAAAACACTTTACTGTGCTGTTTTAAACAATATTATATGAAATTAAGCCAGAGAAGGCATGAACTTAAGAAAAGGACAGAACACTACCGGTACAAAAAATTAAATGAGTTTCAGGGAAGGGTTACTAAAATTTTACGGTAGCGCTCGATTTTATTCAAAAAATTTGAAAGTGCTCAGCACCACGAAAAATATAATTTTTTCTTCCGCTTTCAAAACTTTTTTTTACGCTGAAAAACTATCAAATAGTATTATTGGACAGTATTTAAACACTTATTGGGCAAAAATATTTCATTGTGGATGTATAAAGAGCCAAAAAAAATTTGCGCGCAAAAAAAATTTTTTTTGGAAGGTTTTTTTAAATTTTGACCAGGTTAACTCTTATGTGCGCTTGTGAACTTAATATTAGCTAATGCGGCATATTCAAATGTATCAGAAATCGAAATATCTAAGCTTTTCCTTGAAATTAACCTATCGATAATCCTGAAAAACCTCAAAAAATGACCATTTTTAGGGCCAAAAATCGGTTTTTTTCAAATAAAACCAGGTTAACCCCATTTTCAACACTTCCCACTATCACCAATCGATTCAGGGGCCAAAAATACGTCTTTTAAGACATGTCTGATGACCCTGGTGTATCGAGCCGAAAATCCCCGTAACAGCTCCTACTATGCTACAAAGTAGCGCGTGGGGCTAGTCCATTAACAATGGACACGAAAAACGATATTATTATATATAAATGTGTATTATAGTAAGACAAATTTAAATATATTGGTAGCAGTGGAAAATTTTCGTTACCTGTGTATTGTGCTCTGCCAATTACATGACTTGATTTAATTGAATGTATCAATCGAGCGCTGTAATATGGGCGCAATTAGATTTTGACCGCGGTCTGTGTACATGCTTATACGTTTTTGTTTTGTGAGTAAGCTATGGGATTGTGAAAGTAAGCAATACCAATGTGTTTTTTACAATTAAAATATTTTAAATAAAAAACAAAATTTTATTTTATCATTTATTGTATATACCCACAATCGATTCATATTTAGTTCAAATATTTAAAGTCAAAATACAAAATAACCATTTCATAGAAGTGGTTTTATTATAATAAAATAATTTGTGATATGTGTACAAATAATAAATTAATATATTAATTTACACTCAAAAATTTGCTCTAACCAGAGCCCTCTCGCTTGCAGTAGCGCGCGACCGTGAAACAAGCGCAGTACGCGTATACACATGGCTATGTGAACTCAAAATGTACAAAAATACAAAATTTGTACTTTGCAACACTGGTTCAGCGCGCGGCTGACCGAAAAAGTTTGGTTTACATTTACTAACTACAGTGTACAGTGTACATGAAAAGATAACTTACTAAATTGTTTAATGCTAAATACATATTAAGTCAAACGTTGTTCAATGAATTAGCCACAAACATGTTCAAATTCTGTAGGAGGGTTGTATTTAATTATTATGCACAATAAATGAAATAAAGCTGAAAAGGGAAGAAATTTTTAAAACTACAGTTAAACAGTTTTTGTATTTAATTAAATAAACCAGTCCGCCATATGGATGAAACACTTTCAATTAAATTATACTTTCTTTTTATTGCTTGTCATACGTTGTATGACCCGCCGCGCATGAAGTGCGCGGCTCCCCCTGTATCGTCAGGACGATAAAGTGAAACGCAACGTGATACAATTTATTGCAACAAGCATCTTAAGGGGCGCCAAATCGTCGTTTGAATGTGGTAAAATTTGGAAAAATTAACTACGGTACTAGCAAACACACTTTTTAAAAGATTTCACCGGAATATCCTCTAAAATCATTTAATTTGTTCAATTTTAAGCAGGGTCGCCAAAAGGGGAGGGGCTTTTTCAGCGGGGGGGCGTGACTTGAGACTGGTTTATACGGCCGTAGGCATTACATGGGTCACACTAGTCTCTCTCTCTCTCTCTCTCTCTCTGTTCTGGTCAACGGTTTCTGGCCTCTTACGATAAAGATGGAGGCCTTCTCGCCGTGCCCACAGAATGCAACTCCTGCTAGCTGCATTCCAGGACTCCCAAAGTATATACGAAATCACACTAGTCATTACATTGTATTACGTGGTGACCCCCACTGTCGGCGAAAAGTGGCATGCAACGTATGTCAATCGCTTCACTATAGAGTTTTTACGATACAGGGGAGCCGCGCACTCGTGCGCGGCGGGTCATAGAACGTATGACAATCATTACATTGTTGACCATTGTTAATGATCTGGCCCGGCGTGCGCTACTTCGTAGCTCGTGCCATCGGGCCAGATGGCATTTCGAGAAGAAAGCGGCGCGCGCTACTTCGAAGACATTTAGACGAGTAACATCCGTCAATTACATTGTAGCGCGATGCGTTACTGTGCCGCGCCGCGCAGTCAATGAGGCTTCTCGCTAGATCGACGAGATGCACTACTAACTGTCAACTGTGCCGCGCTGAGCTGCGATGAATTGACATCGTCAATTAAGTCATCACATAATTGCAAGAGTTATGAAAGAAATTATGGCAGACTAATATTGGCTCTTTACTTAATATATAATATTCAATATTATTTTGCTAGCCTAAAATTCATCACTTTGGTTGTTTTTGATTTTCCAGCCGGGCGAAACGGTCTTTTAGTATAAATAAACCTTCATGCTTTACCCTAATTCTAACCCTAAGTAGCATTTTATCAACCTGTTACCTGGCTGAAACAGTTTTCTGCCCAAAACTTCTCAGGAAAGCATTTTTACTTAACGTTATGGGGGTGCAATTAAAAAATATGAGTTAGCAATTTAGTGGAAGCGATAAGTACTCAGCAATGTGGCAGTGGATTATATTAATGAGGTTTATGTGTTTGATATTATAACCATTTAAAATGCAAAGCCCATAATTTTTCGCCAGTCCACCAATAGATAATATTCACCTTCAAGTGGCATTTTATTTTCTTGATTTACACAACGTAGATTTAGGCATAATATAGTGTGGAGTTTCTGTCACAACAAGACTGCAATCCCTAGTAACAACACTTTAGTTCTCCGAACAATTATTATCTGGTCCAAGTATGAAGTATGAGCCTTGTTTCCAAAAAATCATCTGGACTAACGTTTCGGTGTGTGCTAAAGCTTCCAGGCCCACACATTCCTTGTCCCGTTCGTTGCCTGTCCGTTTACAACCCAATTAACAGTTAAGGACAGAAAGTCATACACTAAATGAGCATTATATTTTCATTGTTATAAAATTGTTGATTCTGTAAATATGTGCTAAAATTAAATTTCTTGTTTCAATTGCGATGTGGTTTATCAAGGGCTAGGTGGCCTAGTGGTTAGAGCTGAGCATCTGCCTTCTGCAGAAGGTCCAGGGTTCGAGTCACAGTGTCACCTAGTCTAGAAAGTAGGAAGTAGCTAGTAAGTAAGGATCCATTGGATTCATGCGATCTCCTCTGTCGACTCAGCCGAATGACAGGAAACTTAATTGATGGAGGGGTACCTGTTAAAAGTTCAAGAAACTTCCTAGGATACCCCTTAATAAAATGAAATGTCTAACAGTATATTTGCAATAAATTAAATCAAGTGATGCAATTGGCAGAACACAATCGTAAATCCTGAGCAATAAACATCTTATATCCCTGGCCCTCGTAGCTCTTCTCCTCAGGTATCAGGTTAAAGGAGACATTGGATATAGGGGCGGTCCATGCCTTCTTTGCCTTCCCACGTACACCTCTAACTGCTACTAGCACACTCCTCATTATATCCATGAACAGGCGTGTACTGTACTGATGTTACACATCACGTGGCTTAGTCCTCCTTGGTCTTGGTAGCTATCAACACAGCAAGTTTCCTTATGAAACGCTTGGCCTCAGGTGCCATTCCTCCCTATTCAGATTGGTAAAACCGCCTTTTCGGCTACGCTCATTGCATTAAGTGTCTCAATTTTCGGACACACATTTTACAGCCCTCCACCATGAAGTGCTGGTGAACATCTCATTTCTTGCTTAACTGACCGCATGCAGTAGAGGTGTGAATCTTATTAGCAGATCACTCCACTCACAAGCTGACAATTTCCTGTAATTATTGATAGTGTCGATCACATCATCATTTTGCACCATTACATCAAATTTAGCTTTGTGTTGCCTCCTGTAGTAGCATCGGAAATCATGAACACCTGGGGGTACTATTGTACACACAAACTGCTTGTTATAGATTTATAGATGTAGATACTGATGGGTTGTTGATTGGTCAATACTGGAAGCTGATTCATTCATCACTGTCAGAAAAATATGGTAAACCTCCCTACCGATATCCAGATTTATTGATCAATAGACTATCGATTTTTCAGATATCTCAATGATTTCTTAAGTAACTTTACCAAGAGCTGCAAAAGAGCCCCAAACTTGCTGTCTCAGGGCCTAGCCTACATAGTACATAGGTGCCATTTAACTTTTGATCCAAGACCATACAATTATATTATTACAAATTGAGTATTTTGTCTGGAAACTGTTGCAATTCAGTGGTGTGATCCTACACACTTTTGTCATATAGCAGGTAATAAGAAGGAAAGGTGCATTGCTATCAGCTGGGAACATTTCCAGTGATAAATATCTAGAAGACTTTTGGGTTCAGGCAAGATTTGTCCAGTTGTCTGGTTATGACAGTGGCTTGAAGATAAAAATAGAGTAGACACTCAAAGTTATCTTATTTACTCATACATTGGGATAATATGGTAAAATGCCTAATTTTTAAATATTCAATGAAATCAAGGATAATGGGACTATATTAGATAATATTTCAAGACAGGGCCATAGATTACACTCTTGACTCTCACATTAATTTTGTGATATCTTGGTATACTTGTTAAAGGATCTTAAAAGTAGGAAACATTTCTAAAGAATGCCCTGCACAGGGCAATCTTTATAAAACTACTTAATTCAGAACTTTTAGATGTATGATTGATTTTTTATTCATTATGCCTAATTCCCTCTTATCAGCCCGATCAGCTTCATCATGGTTCTTAACAGAGTAACTTATAGAAGACGCTTATCCTATAACACAAAAAGTAACAAAACTCACTTTTGTAAAACGCCTGGTGGAAAGCTAGTGTACCACTACTCTAAGAAGAAGACCAATGTGAGCAAATGTGGCGACTGTAAATCTGCCCTTCACGGGATAACAGCTGTTCGACCTAAAAAGTTGGCATCACTGTCCAGGAGGGTGAAAACAGTGAGCAGGGTGTATGGGGGCACCAAATGTGGGAAGTGTGTAAGATCAAGAATTATCAGAGCATTCCTCATAGAAGAGCAGAAGATTGTCGCTAAAGTGCTTAAAGCTCAAGCTTCGAAGATATAATTTGCTTTCATTTCATTATTTATAGATCACATTTTTATGTTATGCTTAAATATTTGTTTCTTTGCTTAAATATGAGTCAAATTATTTACATATTTATAGCATTACACTACATTCTGCCTCTTTTGCGGTATTTAATATTGATACCACAGTTTTACACAATATAATGTATATTAGCCTAAACTATACATTGACCTTTAGTGTTGTTAAAATGGCTGCTATACGAAAGAAGTTAGTTATCGTGGGTGACGGTGCATGTGGTAAAACATGTCTACTTATAGTCTTTTCTAAAGATAACTTTCCCGAGGTATGTACTGTTTCAATTTAATATAGACAGCTATAGTAAAATAATATTATAGTAGTAGTAGTACTATAATAATATTCTTCTTTTATTGTTATTTAATTATATCTTGCTCGTGGACCACAATTAATAGTACAGGGGTATGTGGCCTAGTGATTAGAGCATCCGCCTTCTGTGCAGAAGGTTCAGGGTTCCAATCCCAGTTTCACTAAGTCTAGGGACTAGTGAGTAGCTAAGAATCCATTGGATCAATGCGATTTCCTCCTCTGCTTTCTAGTAATATTTGTGAAACCCAATATAATGTTATGACCTAGATATCCCTTGGTGATCAAATAATGCCCGCAGGTGTATGTACCCACCGTGTTCGAGAACTATGTAGCTGATATTGAAGTTGATGGAAAGTGCGTGGAACTGGCGCTCTGGGATACAGCAGGCCAGGTATTAACTAATTAATTAATTAATTAATTAATTAATTACTATTTTCTGCTCACTAATCATTGTACAGTATGTACAAATTGTGCATGCTTGTAATTTCAAATACTTGATTTCACTTCCTCAAATCCATCAAGAAGAAGATTTACCGGGGGCCGGTAGAGTATTTCAATTAAAGTCAGGACCTAACACAAATGACCGGTAGGAAGATTACGACAGACTGAGACCTCTATCGTATCCTGACACAGATGTCATCCTCATGTGCTTCGCTATAGACAGCCCTGATTCGCTAGAAAACATCCCTGAGAAGTGGACTCCTGAGGTAAGTCAGCGTGAACACAACACGTGTCATGACGTCACACCACGTGTCATGACGTCACAAAGTCAGCGTGAACACAACAGTCAACAGGTTACAAAACTAAACATGCAGCTGTTATACCTTTACTAGAGTAGCAAGGTGCAGTTGTGTGTGTCCGTTTCGTATAAGCTAGGGTCGCAAATTGAAGCTGGTACATGATATTGATATGACCTATTGAAATGGCTCTAATACCACGTGACAGTATAAATATGGATTTCTACTTTTTGACATTAAAACAATAAACATTCACACGTGTCATGACGTCACGTCATCATTCAGGTGAAACACTTCTGCCCGAGCGTTCCTATAATTCTGGTAGGAAACAAGAAAGATCTGAGGAACGATGAGGCTATCAAGAGGGAACTAGCAAAACTGAAATTAGAACCAGTAAAAGCAGAGGAGGGTCGACAGATGGCCAGTAAGTACTTTATTGTATTTAATTCTTACTATTCATTAACTTAATTCTATTAAATTCTAAATGAATTTTATTAATTTCTATTTAATTTTATTATCAATAACTCAATCTTTAAAAATTGCACCTCCCACTTTTTTAAGCATTTGCTAATTTTGTAACCGAAATCATATCCAATTATAAATGTATGTTGCACTTTACTTTTTCGCCCCCAATTTCTTTAAGTGATATCAACATTTTCCAGGTACGATCAATGCTTATGAATATCTAGAATGCTCTGCTAAGACTAAGGAATGCGTCAGGGAGGTAAGATATCTGTCTAAAGTTAAAACCTATCTGGATAGTTGAACATTACATTAATTAACTAATTCACAATTAGCAACTTTCCCAACATAGTTCAGTATAAACTTGAGCCCATTTAAATTGCCAGGTGTTCGAATCTGCGACCAGGGCCGCTCTGCAAACAAAGAAACGCAAGAAGAAGATCTGTGAACTGTTGTAGACTGCAATGACTGCACGCGTACGGTCGAGGACTTGCTGCTTGGCGCACTGTAATGTCATCACACGTGTCATGACGTCACGTGACATCACACGTGTCATGACGTCACGTCATCATCCAAATTACTGCATGTCTACTTTATAGCTCATGAACTCACAATTTTTATAACTTTATAGTTTATACAACGTTGTTATGGTAACGCAACACGGGGTCTCTCTTTTCGTTGCCATGGTAACGCCTTAGTGTGCTCCAATGAGCTTCGCGTCGCGTCAACGCAATATTTATATTGTTAGATTTAATTCATAATACAAGTACTTACTAATAAGTACAAGTTAATCAATTTATTGATTAATATTCGTGTGATATATTCGTATATGATATATAGTTTTGTCCTTAGTATTTTGATAGAGGGTATGAATGAATTGAGAGAAACTGAGTGTATAACCATCGTATAAATAATATAATGTTTCAAACGTAACGACATTTTAGGTATTTTTAAATTTTTGAGTTTTCACTTTTGAAAAAGTAAATTAATACGTTTGTGCTTGATTAATGGATGCGCCATAGAATTGCTCTGAAATGTACGGTCTGTGTTATTAAATATGCATTTCACAACATATAATACATTATTGCAATTGAAAATTTGCGTTAATGAAAAATATCCAGCAATCGCCGAAGTACTTACTATGTTGCAAAAAGTTAGTGAATTTGAAATTTTCACCGATTTTTTCTAATAATTTTGATAGAAATCGAGAAAAGACTATTGTGCAGTTTATATGAATAGTGATCGGTATATAGCATTGGTTTTGTTATATATTGTACATACAACGCAAGGGTTACAATACTTGTTCTTATATCAGGGGTCTCACATTTCCCCCCCCCCCCGGCCCCCCCCTCACATACCCGACATTGCAAATTACCTACACAGCGTCCCTTATACCCACCATATTACCTACCAATACTGACCACTCCTTACACCTCCTCACTCCTCAGTGCGATAAACCTCTATCTACACCCCCCGGCCCCCCCCCCCCCCCCCCCCATGTGTAGTGTGTACAGACCCCTGATTCTTATACATTTCTCTCTCTTTATTGAGCTATAGTAACTTAATAAGCCTTGAAATACATTAGCTACATTCATCATCATATCAATATGGAGTTTTTAAGAAAGGTAACAATAAATACCCTGCTCGAGTAGTTGGAAAGAGACCTTTAATGATTCTTCTGATGACATATTATATGGTAACTAAGTTGCTATGGTAACTACTAACTAAGTTACTATGGTAACTAAGAAATGTGGATATGTTTAATTTAAAAACGTCTTATGGATAATTTAATTAGTGTACCCGTTTAGAACTTTAAAACATTGTTAACACTTCCCATACCCTGCACGTTTTGGGAAACGGTCCAAAAACCTTTGCTATAATGTTAAATACCTTTTTAGGAACATTTCAGTAAATTCTAATTATCGATTTCGGAAAATATTGGTTATGCATTGATTCTAGTTAACTAGTTGATTAGTAAACTAATTTTGAGTTCAAGTATATTGAAATGAGTTTGCCAAAGTGGTGCCCTTGATTTAGACACTTGTGTATCTTATCACGTGATCACGTGATCTCTGTCACGTGTCCCTGGTCTCGCAGATTATGATATTATAAAGACTCGTTACTAACTCGGGATTGGTTTCAGCTCAAAAGAGACGATTTTCTAAAAAGTGTAATTCCAATTGCAATGCTTCTTTCTGAATAATCTGCTCCTTTATAAATAATAATAATAAATATCATAGTCGTGTTAAATAATTTAGTCTTAACCATTGGAGATTAAATGATTTTTTGTTACTCACATTTCTTGTTTCACTCCTGCGTTTAACTCATAGTTATAACTATAAATTAAATTAATATCTACATAATAAAGGGTGGCGTGATTGGTGTTATTCAGCTCCTTTTACCAGTCATTCCACAAAGTTCTCAATAAAATAGTAAAATTGAAGAGTTCAGCTAATTTAACCTGACAATTAAGTAAGTAATTAGTTGCCTTATCAGAGCCTATCACTCCGTACCATCAGTAACAGTGTCATGTCAGTACTGTGATATTGTGCTCCTTTATAAATACTGTCAGTACTGTGATATTGTGCTCTCTTATCACCTGATATAAGGAATGTAAACCGTACAGTGACGTCATGCTGTTATAAGGGAGTCCGTGTAATCTCATTTCCTTGGTTACGGACATTTTAACATACACCATCCAACAGCCGTGCCCTTACATGGTATTAGAGATGTAAGGTTTGTGTGTCTGTGTGGTAACTGGTAATTTAAGAGGGATATTTAGCAGGGTTGGACTCACTTCATGGGTCCTAGTAAAGTGTTACACCTGGAGGTGTGTTACATGTACTTATCACAAATCTGTATTATTTGCTACTACTAGTTCTATTATTTACTGAATCAATCTTTATCTGTTCCCATTCACCTAAAAAGCCAGTACTTGAAGATTCGACCACAGTATAGGTTCACATGTTAGCATGTAAACTAGAGACATCACATCTTAGCATGTAAACTAGAGACATCACATCTTAGCATGTAAACTAGAGACATCACATCTTAGCATGTAAACTAGAGACATCACATCTTAGCATGTAAACTAGAGACATCACATCTTAGCATGTAAACTAGAGACATCACATCTTAGCATGTAAACTAGAGACATCACATCTTAGCATGTAAACTAGAGACATCACATCTTAGCATGTAAACATTCCTGAAAAGTGTTCCTATATTTTGTCTGTACTGCAGTTGTTACCATGGTTACACGGTTACCATGGTTACACGTATCGTAATAATTATATGTGTGTTTGTGTGTGTTCCTTTCCTAGGCTGCAGTTGTCCTATTTTTAAAATATTTACTTGTGTTTGATTGGCTGTTCCTTGTCACGAGGTTAGGTTCTATTCCTCTCATTGGTAGATTTTATGTGTTGTTGGTCAGTAGGAAAAGTTAATCAAACTATACCGATGTATCTACGTGTGTGTACATGTGTATTAAGTTGCCTTGGAAACTAATGGTTGGGCGGCAAGTGTCACGTGGGTCGTCACGTGTCAACTCGAGACATGAATAAATTACTGTTTACATGACCAAATACACGTAACCTAGCCTCTACCTCGTAAAGCCTACGTAAAAGTACTTGGTACGGTGCTGGTGGGTATGAGAAAACGGGTGAAAATAGAATGTCCTCGAAATTCCTATCATGATTAACGAAGTATGTAGTAAAATACGTCACGTGTGTAAACTAGAGTGTGGTGGTTGTAGTTACGTGTGTAAGCTAGAGTGTGGTGGTTGTAGTCACGTGTGTAAGCTAGAGTGTGGTGTTTGTAGTCACGTGTGTAAGCTAGAGTGTGGTGGTTGTAGTTACGTGTGTAAGCTAGAGTGTGGTGGTTGTAGTTACGTGTGTAAGCTAGAGTGTGGTGGTTGTAGTTACGTGTGTAAGCTAGAGTGTGGTGGTTGTAGTCACGTGTGTAAGCTAGAGTGTGGTGGTTGTAGTCACGTGTGTAAGCTAGAGTGTGGTGGTTGTAGTTACGTGTGTAAGCTAGAGTGTGGTGGTTGTAGTCACGTGTGTAAGCTAGAGTGTGGTGGTTGTAGTTACGTGTGTAAGCTAGAGTGTGGTGGTTGTAGTTACGTGTGTAAGCTAGAGTGTGGTGGTTGTAGTCACGTGTGTAAGCTAGAGTGTGGTGGTTGTAGTCACGTGTGTAAGCTAGAGTGTGGTGGTTGTAGTTACGTGTGTAAGCTAGAGTGTGGTGGTTGTAGTTACGTGTGTAAGCTAGAGTGTGGTGGTTGTAGTCACGTGTGTAAGCTAGAGTGTGGTGGTTGTAGTCACGTGTGTAAGCTAGAGTGTGGTGGTTGTAGTTACGTGTGTAAGCTAGAGTGTGGTGGTTGTAGTTACGTGTGTAAGCTAGAGTGTGGTGGTTGTAGTCACGTGTGTAAGCTAGAGTGTGGTGGTTGTAGTCACGTGTGTAAGCTAGAGTGTGGTGGTTGTAGTCACGTGTGTAAGCTAGAGTGTGGTGGTTGTAGTCACGTGTGTATTGTGTAAGCTAAAGTGTGGTGGTTGTAGTCACGTGTGTGAAGTAACGAAACCCGGCGCACAGTGGGCCAGAATAGGGGGTCATACTGTAATAGACCATCAGTGATCAATTTAGATCATTTCAAACATTATTTTTTACTTCAAATCAGTTGAATATTGATTTTTAAACAAATTTTGGTCCTTTATAAGTCACAGAAAAATTTTTTTGGCTCATTCCATAGAAATTTTTCATGGCTGAAATGTAGGTCTAGAGGCATCCAATTAGAGTTTTTGCTAAAGATAATCGTTGAATGTGTTTAGAATGTTTTTAAATTGATAGTCCTGAGGCTATTGATCATTTTGGTTTTTGAATTATGAAAAAATATTGATCGTAGCCAAAGTTATGTCAAATTAAAACCAGAAAATTGGGCGCGAATGCCAGAAATTTCTGAAATTGTCAGAAAATACCAGTAAAATTCCAGAAAAATAGCATTTTTTGATGATATTTCCAAAACAGACCACTTTTTAGTACCCCATAACCTCATGGCACCAGGCCACGACATTGAGAGCCAAGAAAGATGTTCAAAATGGGGTTTGTTTGAGAAAAAATAATTTTTTTCAAATCTGCAAGGTAAGTCTAAATTCCATCAAATTTGGGCATTTTTTCAACTTTGGAATTTTTTTCTGAAAAAGACCCAAAAAAACCCAGAACAGTTCTTCTACCATTGTTTAGAGAATCGTCTGAGCTTTCAGATGGTACCATGCATTAGTGGGGCAACCTGAGGCAAATATCTTTTTTTTGGCCAAATTTAAGCAAAAATTAGTCAAAAATGAGGCCTAAAATTGAGTGTGTGCCAAAAATTCAGCTTAAATGATATGATTACATGGTTTTTTGCATGAATTGAAGCAAAGAGAGTACTTTCACCTTGATTAGGAGTCAATATACGGTGTTTTAAGCCAATTTTAGAAATATAATGATGGGTTATGCCAATTTTGACTGCCAATTTTGACTGGCAGTCAAAAAATTTTGTAAATTCGCCGACGCGCTGCGCGAAAGCCATTTAATCAATTCAATTATGGTTTTTTGCATCTAATAGCCAAGATATTTTACTGCAATACAAAACTTACTTAATTCCTTTTAAAAGAACTCAATTTTTCGTCTATTATAGTATGGTGGCCCACTGTGCGGCGGTGTGTTTATGATGTCATGTGTTATATTTGTATCGTGTATATAAAATCCCTCACATGCGTTATTTACTAACAGACATTTCTCCTCGTTTCAAGACCAAAACCTAAAAATGGCTAAAATAAAGCAGCGACCCTTGTCTAGGATAAAGCAGCGACCCTTATCTAGGGTAAAGCAGACCCCTTGTCTAGGATAAAGCAGCGACCCTTGTCTAGGATAAAGCAGCGACCCTTGTCTAGGATAAAGGGGGGGGGGTGTCACGTCCGTCTATGTCCGCTTGTCTCATAGAATCCAAAAAGGACAGGACATAGGCGGACATAGGCGGACATAGGCGGACATAGGCGGACATAGGCGGACATAGACGGACATAGACGGACATTGGCGGACATAGGCGGACATAGACGGACATTAGCGGACATTAATGGACACCTAAATTGCTAAATAAAATGTTCAATTTTTGCTGTTATAGGGGGGTCATGTTTTTTGTCCGTTCGGTACCTATATTTTCAAAACGGACAAAAAATAGAGCGGACAAAAACGGACAAAAATGGACAAAAACGGACAAAAATGTAAATAACATTTAGATGCTTCCTCCTCCTACTCTTCCTCCTCCTCCTGGGTCTTCCTGATCTTCCTCAGTCCTCTTCCTCCTCCCCTCCTCAGTCATCCTCCTACTCCTCCTCCTTGTCCTCAGTCCTCCTCATCAGTCCTCAACAGTCCTCCTCCTCCCCAGTCCTCCTCCTCCTCAGTCCTCCTCCTGGGTCCTCCTCCTCCTCTTCATTATCCTCCTCTTCCTCCTCAGTCCTCCTCAGTCCTCCTCCTCATCCTTCTCCTCAGTCCTCCATCCTCCTCCTCAGTCCTCACCCAGTCCTCCTCCTCCTCCTCCTATTCAGTCCTCCTCCTCCTCCTCCTCCTCCTCCTCAGTCCTCCTCCTCCTCTTCTCTCTCAGTCATCTTCCGCAGCCATCCTCCTCAGTCCTCCTCAGCCCTCCTCCTCAGTCCTCCTCCTCCTGGGTCATCCTCCTCCTCTTCATCCTCCTCCTCTTCCTCCTCGGTTCTCAGTCCTCCTCCTCAGTCCTCCTTCTCATCCTTCTCATCAGTCCTCCTCCTCCCCAGTCCTCTCCCAGCCCCCCTCCTTCTCCTCCTCCTATTCAGTCCTCCTCCTGATCCTCCTCCTGATCCTCAGTTCTCCTCAGTCCTCCTTATCATTTCTCCTAAGTCCTCCTCCTGAGTCCTCCTCCTCCTCTTCCTCCTGAGTCCTCCTCCTGCGTCCTCCTCCTCCTCCCTCTCAGTCATCCTCCTCAGCCATCTTCCTCAGCCACCCTCTTCAGCCATTTTCCTCAGTACTCCTCAGTCCTCCTCCTTCTCAGTCGAAGTCATCGTCAGTCCTCCTCCTCAGTCCTCCTCAGTCCTCCTCCTCCTCCTGGGTCATCCTCCTCCTCCTCCTCCTGGATCCTCCTCCTGGGTCTTCCTGATCCTCCCCAGTCCTCTTCCTCCTCCCCTCCTCAGCCCTCCTCCACCGTTCGGTACCCTATATTTTCAAAACGGACAAAAAATAGAGCGGACAAAAACGGACAAAAATGGAAATAACATTTAGATGCTTCCTCCT